ACTAAAAGCCAGGATGCACTGAACAACTCTTTCTTCCTATTACTCATTCATGAAATATCCCCGGGGCCGCAACCATGATTTTCACATCTTATAGTGAGCTCTTAATCTATAGATTAATGAGTCAGGATCTAATCGTTTACACTTCTCACGTCAGTCAACTCACAATGTTGCGTAACCATCTTCCAATGTCATCGGTAGGTAACTGCCTCATATTGTACATAGCTGTTTTCCTTTAGTCACGGCTTCCTATTAGAACTCCGGGAATTATCCCCTGAAATTAGTCATTAATAAGCACATGATTTCACTCTTTATTTCCTTTTAAATTTTAATTTGAGACTGCTGTTTTGTAAATATTCATAACTATTCAGAGGATTAAATCCGTCAATCAACAACATAGTTTTCCTCACATCAGTTTCTTTATCTATTTTTTCCCTCGATTCACTTACACTTATCAAGTGGTGCGTAACTAATCTTTTCTAATAGTAATTAAACTCAATTTCAAATGAATAAACAAAGTTATTTAACTCTTAATTTTTCTACAACTCATTTACCAAGTACAGATTTATATGTTTGAGCTTCAGGTCATATTTTCCATGTATAGCATACCGATACTACTAAGTTGTTCAAATCAGAGTAGATGAAATAACGTTGTTTGAATCTATGAACTAGTGTTCACATGTTAAATAATTATTTAACCATTGAGTCTCTTACTTCACTTTGTACTTTATTCTTTACATTAACTTTTTTTGCTTAGTTAAGCCCGTTTTAATAATTTTAGATTAAAACTAGCTAATTTAACTATTTGATATACGATATTTCTTTAAAACACAGATATCTTGTGGTAGGTATTGCTTCATCTGTATATGTTCAAAATTCAATGTATATTCCTAAACCCAAACCGATGTGAATGAATACCCAGTTGGTGATATATGGTGATATAATTCTGGTTAGCGCCTTTTAGCAAGATTGCTTTTTATGAGTTGGGGTTACTGACCCCATCCATACCCAACCCTTCTCCTTTACCCGGGCTTGGGACCGGCAGTAACTCTAGAAGAGCTACATTCGGAGTTATATAGTGATAGAACGTTAACTAATTGATTAATATGTATGCATATAAACTGGACGTTGTTATTTTATATCATGATTTAAGGATTAATATAAAGTTGTTTTTTCTTAATTATTATTATTATTAGTATTAGTAGCTAATAAGTCAATATAATCTTCAGACACTATTAGATCGCTTACTTTTTCATGTTTTAAAAATTATCGTTAGTATTAGATGACGTTTCTGACTTCTGCCAATATGAACTTTTCTGATGTATTTAAGACTTGTTTATTAAACACCTAATCATCATTGAGTTCGTAATTTAAAAAATTTTCAACTCTAGTTAGTTTCTAAAATATTACATAACCAATTCCTAACATTATCGTCAAGTAGATTTTATGAAGTAGTGACTAGTAGCCCTCAAGTTGAATGCACTTAAATTTCAACTAATCTGTTCACAAGTTCATATTCCACTTTATTAAATTCAGTTTAGTCAACTGTTTATATTATTGAAATAGGGTTTTATGATTTGATGAAGTAATATTCAATTGTTAAAATGTAAGCAAAGAATAAACAAAGAATATTGATCAACAAATAATGATATGCTATAATACGATAATATGATGAGTAGTGAGTTGTTCACGAGACTGATTTATTCAATTACTCTCTTAGATAAACTAATATTATAAGACAAGATAGTTGCTCAGTAGAAACAAGTTCTTTTAATCTAATAAAATGATTGAATGTTATAGATGATCAAATAGGTTAGGCTTTCTCATTATATCGGCTTAGTAACATTAGCCCTCATTCACAAATATTTTAGTTTAAAGTCCAGGAAGTAAACTTGTACTTGGTTTGAATAAATCGTGTTTTAAAGAGAAAAAAAATCCTGGAATTGTTTATTTTTCTTACTGGAAATCTATTCTATCTTATTTCTTTTAAACATTTTAATCAAGGAACTTTAATGTATATAGTTCATATCATAGTAAATGAGTAAGGTAGTTTCAACTGTTGGCTACTTTTTATCAGTGTTTTACAAACCATCCATTTCAACAGTAGGATTATGTTTTGTTAGTTGAATTTTTTTCAGATCATTTTATCAATCAAAAATACAGACTGGATCACATTTCTAGTGGAATATATATATATATATACTCATATATTATCTGTAAAACTGCTTTTTTGAATATATGCTGAGGCGATCACAAAATTACTCAAATTCTGTTAATATTCGCAAGACCTCACTAAGAACAATAATAATAAGCAGTGTAGTCTAAACGGGAATTCTATATACACCTAATCGCTATTATCAAGACTTACTTCTTATAACTGTTACCCCTCGTGGAAGAGCATAGGTAACCCACCAGCATTCTCCATTGAACTCTGTTCTGGGTGGTACTTTCCAGTTGCTATGCATTCTTCTGATGTCTGCTTCCAGTTTCCGATGCAATGTGCTCCTTGGTCTTCCTCTTTCCCGTTTCCCTTCAGCACTTCAAGTTAGCGCTTGCCTCGTGCTGAAGTTTGATTATTTTCGCAATGTATGTCCTATTCACATCCAACGTCTTTTCCTAACTTCCTCTTCAGATGGGACCTGGTCTGTTCTCTCTCAGAGTAGGCCGTTCCTGATGGTATCCATCTAACGGACATTGAGTATCTTGAGTAGACAACTGTTTATAAATACTTGTACTTTTTAATGATGTTTGTAGTAGTTCTCAAGGTTTCAGCCCCGTACAGTGGAACTGTCTTGACGTTCTTATTGAAGATTCTGATATATCTAAGGGAATAATTGTTAAATCTCACTGGACACTGTGAACTTCCAAAATGTCATTTTGTCCTGAATAATTTTGAAGTCCCTTTTTACTTGACTAAAATATTTACTTAAAAAACAATGACATAACAGTATTTTCATCAGCTTTTGCTTTACTGTTGTTTTTTTCTTTTCTATCCTTTATTCTTCAAGTTTATCAATCAATTTAAACAATGTGTAGATTCAATGAAGACTCAAATTCAACCAGAAGCAAATAGTCCATCTGGAATACGTGTACCAGTAAGTTTTTTCGTATTTTAAAGTATTTCTATCGTTTCGTTGGAAGTGTTTTATGTTCTCTAAGCCAGATAGGTGCGTTAATTTTGAATTTTTCGTTGTCGTTCGTCTGAAAATAGCATCATTAGGACAAAGAAAGCCTCACAACTAAACATTTCAACTTAGAGACCACGAAACCTCCAATATTTCAGTAGTCGAATCCTTCAAGTTCATCTTATTTGGGGTTTGTCAGCTGGAATGAACCTGTATCCCATAATTGACATTCACACTGAAATCTTGAACCCCAATACCTATCCATCGGTCCAAATACCAACTCATTTAATAACCGAGTTGGAGCCTAGATAATAATCGACTTCACATGATGTAATATTTATTATTACTGTTTATATTTTCCTGCTAATTAAATTTTATCGAGTCTTAGTGTAAACATCAAAATTGCGATACAAATACATTCTTACCCGACGAATCCTAAATTAAGCAAAATGTGCATCCTGGATCCACTATCTATAAAGATATGTTACTATTATTGATTGACTGGTTGATTAAATAATCTGAAATACTTTTAATCTTATGTAAATCATATGATCTTTATTTACACATTACATAAACAGATCATATTTTTTTACACTAAAATATGTAACTTTTTTTTCTACCAACCTGGTATTGTTTAATACACTCATAGTTTACTTCCTGATCTCACTTTTTTCGGTGAATTTCTGTAATCCAACATAATTTATACTCATTTATTTGAAAGTAAAGCTACTTTGCCTAATCACTTTCATCTCTATCTTTACTATTCTGTAGAAAATATTATGTAAAATAATCAAGCTTCCTACAATGTTATCTAAAATTTTTTTTTTTTATTATTTAAACACATAAATATTGGTACAGAGGGGCACCAAAGTGTTCATCCACCACACAATAAAATTGTGATTGTGTAGAGATAGCGGAGGAAAGGTAGGTATAATGGAAAAAATAAAAAATGGAAAGAGATTAGTGTATGAAAGTGAAATATTAATAATATTGATGATGAGAGAAGCAATTCAGTTACGAAAAATATAACCATAAAGAATCCTCTCAGTTAAAGAATTTACGCTCACTTACAAGGAAAAGGTTACATCACGATCACCACTGACTCATATTCTGAGCCATATCTGATAACGTCTCAATCCAAAGTGTTGCACTATCTCTAGGACCCCAACAGGGAGTGGTAAAGGACCGACAGATGCCAGTCCCTTACAGCATTCTTCGATACCATGACACCATAGTCATATAATGATCCCCTCTTCACTTTTACAACCAGTCCCAGTATCGACAAATAATGCACAATGTGGAATTCTCTGGAACGACATTCGTAGAACATGTACAAGTCAACGAAGTCGGTGTTTCAAGGTGGGGGCACCAAAATGAACTATCGTCACTGTTCCCGAACACACGTTGCCTAACCTCCACACTGCTAACATAATGTCACTGAATACCAGTTATTCTCCAGAGACAAGGATGATAAAACACACAGGTGCTTAACATTCACAACTCAGAAAGGTCAGGTCTCAAAAGCATAGAACAAAACTGCTCTTGTAGTGTATCCTACTTATACGGACCGATAAATAAAATGTGTCAAGAATTTGAAGTAGCATTCTTACTGACGGAAGGGGAACATGAGGGGAAGAGAAAAAAACAATCAATCCAAGTAGCAACAGGAATAAAAAAAACGATGAAGCTCGTAAGAAACAATGCAATGATGTGAAAACGATGTATTTTAATGTATTGTCTCCATATTTTAAAGATGCAGTGTGTGATTGTGCTTAACACAGTAACTGATTTACTCTACTAAAGTCTTCATGCATTGCACTCTCACTGGTCGGTTGTACATCCCACGTTTCACAGCTAGACTAACATCACGAAGGCACCAAAGATGGCCCAGATTGGCATAGGTCGCTAACCAGTAGCTTTAAGCGTCTTCAGTTGATCAATCTCATTTCGCGGTGAAAATTACTTTTCGAAAAAAAAATCTCCATACAACCAATGTGACTAATAATATACGAGTTCAAGTTATAAGGCGTTTATACCGTTTGCAGTTTAAGGTTATACCAATCCTGCCCTCATTCAATACAATCCCTATTTCTGGAAAGATACGTTTTTTTCTCACATTTCCTTAGACGTTCTCAGAAGTTAAGCTGTTCAGCTGCTTCGTTGTTTTACATTTTATATCATCTTTTCATAACTATTCTATTTTTCGAAAACATAAAAATAGTAGATTGCACCGGTAAATGAAAAGAGTAATCTATCCCGGCGATAAAAATTGGTAACAGTCAGAAATTCATGATGAAACACTTAATGAATACTGTGGTGTATTGTTGTATATTTCCTTATGAGGAGATCACAACTCTCATCATATATTAGTAAATGAAGTGTACAATGCGACTGGTCGTTTTTTAGTTCCAGTAGTAACTAACATACTTAGAAGTTCAGTTTGGGTATTTATTGATGAATAGATTACGCACAGATATAACTGTTAATCAAATCTGTTCCAAGTAATCTAATGTCCCATCCTTTATATTCATTTCTAATTTTCAGTATTTAACTTAAGTAAAAACTGTTTACATTAGTAACAATGGTATAGTTAGCATCTCAGTTGATTGATTATTGATCTTGTGTATGTGTACTTTTCATATTTGCTTTTCGTGGGAAAGTGTAATTTTTACTACTTTTTACCTTGTCATCGCTTGAATGTTTTTTTTTCTTGCGATTATCTTTTTGTATAGTCAATGATTCATTGGTAGGTGTAATCTAATCAGTAAACTGTCTATTTAACGGTGATGCAGCAAACCCAGACGATGACAATAATAATAATAATAATAATAATAATAATAATAATAATAATAGTGGAAAATGTGAAATAAATTACACTTGACTAGGTAATTAACTAACTTGTCATTTGAGACGTAGTTTTTTCTTGTCTCAGTTTACCAGTTATACATTTCTACAACTTCTATCCGAGCCTTATTTTAATGCGTCCATTATTGTGCGCACATATATGTATGTGTATGTATCAGTGTACTTGGTCAAAATATCAACTGTTTGTCTTGAAATTGCTTATCTTGTGAACTTGCTACATACTTGTTCAAAAACACATCTTAGTTGTATCCTAGAATCCAGAGTTATTTCACCCTGAACAAAAAGCAGAAGGTGGGAAACATAGGAAAAGCCTTACTCCCAAAGTTTGTTAATGTACAAAATGGCGATAGTAGTTATACGGAATTATACATAAGTTGATAACAAAGTCAGCATTTGTCCAATCATTATAAAGAAAGTACATTCAACCACTTTATAAGTTTTTTTTTTCTGTAAGTTCCTAATGAGCACAGATTAATCGAAGTGTTTTCATCATCTTTCATAGCTGCTGTAAACTTTTTCAAACAATTATCAAAGGGTCCCAACAATGAAAATCAGTTGCACAACCGTTAATCATAAAGTGACATTCGATATTTGCTTAATCTTAATCTTGTAACTTATTTTTTAAATTCATTATTGAATTGAGTAACATTGTCTGTGTCTCATTTTATGGTAAAATTATGATTTACAGATAAGCCAATTGGAATCGAAAACTCAACTTTTAAGTTTTTGCTTGAGATTCAAGTACCATGTATAACAAGCAGTAAAAATACCTTTGTATAGTGTTCAAAACATCCAACAGGATTGTGAATGATTATTTTTGTAATCATGGATTTAAAATGATAGTGTTAAGTGTAGTAAATGCCTAATTCTATCTCACCCTGAATACTTGATCCTGAAACAAACATTAATCTTGTGGCAATATGTTTTATGGATTAACCAATAAGATAGCCCTCGTGTTTACGAGCGAACTTTAACATTATAGCTGATGTCAGTTCGGGAATAAATTATTAACCCTGAACATCCAATCCTTACCCTAAATAAATAAATTAATATATTTGTAATATCCCAACGAGTAGAAAAATTAAATTTTTTGACGTCTCGTGACTCAGTGTAAGCCATTTCTTCAGCGAATAACTAACCAAATCAAAATTAATCCAAGTTTATATTCTTGTGTTGTTCCTTTGTACTATTTAAACTTAGAATAATTTTAATTTAGTTATTTATTCTCTGAAGAAGTGGCTTACACCAAGTCACGAAACGTCGGAAAATTTAATTTTTCTACTCATTGGGATATTACAAATATATTGATTTATTTGTAACAATCTACCTAATACTCAGTTTATTCGAAATCATCAGGTCAAACCTTGATAATGATACTTACTTACCCTAAATAGCTTACCCTAACTTAAACCAATATAGGGCCTCTTATAAATGTTTTTGGGTTCTTATACAGACGATCTATATCCATTCGGAAGAATTTAGATTTCGTTGTTCTTTATTTATAAACAGAGCAGCCTGAAAAAGATATAATAGATTTATCGACCGTAAAGTCTGTTCATACTTTTCAATATTATTGTTTTCTTTCCCATAAACCATCCCTTTCTGATTGACTGGTTAAAAACCGGCTGGAAATTTGTCGCGCTTATTTTGAACTCATCCGCAAAGTATGGTTTTGTCTATTCTATAATCCCGTTTTTATTTGTTGTACTAGTTGTACTACATACGTTTAAATTCACATGAAGTTGGTTCTATTATTTCCTGTCATGTATATATATAACTCATATTTTCAATTCCCTCTCGTTACCTTGACTCCTTTAATCAACTAACAGTCACCGTCCATAGATTGACATCATATCATATGGAAGAGGTTAGGTACAGAAAAAGAGAGAAGCAAAAGTGTAATGAAATATTGGAGCTAAGGTTCTAAAAAAAGGCAAAGAGTGCTGAGTATTATCACAAATAGGACAATGGCTCAGTGATTGAAGCACATAGTTTCCAACGAGCGAATCATAGAATAAAACCCCACTTAATTTAATTCATAACAAACCGTTCCATAAATTGTGTATTCGTTAGTATGTGCAAAAACAGATTTAATACAGACGTACAAGAATATCCTTCATAGTTGAGTACACCAATCTCCATAGTTGTTAACTGAGTTACAATGAAGTTTATTTTGATGTACACAATAAATTGCATGTTATATTTTTTTTGTCCGATCAACATTCAACTTTGCATTTTAGCACTTTTTCTGAAGTTCCAACTGATTTTCTATATTGATTATATGCATTTTTACATTCTGTTAATGTCTATCGAAAGTAACTTTTTTACTTTGATCTCTCTCTCTCTCTCTCTCTCTTATATATATATATATATATATATATATATATATATATATATATATATATATATATACTATGTTTCTTCCATTTATTCCATGTTCATTAATGAAGTAAGAAAAACTAATGAAACTAATGTCGGTGTACAAAATAACCAATATTTCAATAATCACATGTTTGTTCACTATTTCTCTGATAGAGAGAAAAAACCAAATGATGATTGCTTGTGTATCTGTCAGGTTTCATGTGTCTTCTTTTCCGTCATGATTCACATCTCACTCAGCCCCAATAAAATTATTAATTAATTTCAATTATGCAATATCATACACATGTATTAGTTCATAACCTATTCTTAATATTTACCATTAAGTGTTTTTTTTATTTCAAGTTAATTTTTTTTACCATCCATTCACGATAACAACAACATAACCGGCAACACAGACATTAGAAATAATGAATAGAACTGGGGAATAGCTGTAAAGGAAAGCCGTTGACAAAGCTGGTTGTTGATTCGTGGTCGACGGTTTACAGTCCACAAGAGGTAACAGATGTAAGTAATTAATAACAATATGAAGAACAGTTGTACAAGAACATTACTGACGTAAACCTGTAATCTGAATAGTCACATTTAAATGTAATTAGTTGACACTTGGATTAAAAGTTGATAGAGTTATTTTGGCTTTTTTTTCGTATCAATCAATCACGAACAGCATAAGGCATGCAAATAATGTGTACATCAAGACAACTTAATACAATTCACATCAACACAGCATAGTAAGAGTTGAAATCGAAACAACCGAAATACACATATTGTAAACCGAAACAGAATAATATGGTTCTAAAAAAACTAGGTGAAACTGATAAATAAACAGTTAAGAATAATTTCAATAGTTGAGGTCATGAGTCAACCGAAGCTAGACCACCATGGAAAACTTGGAAGCACTGGACGGCCGTTTCATCCTATTGTGGGACTCCTCAGCAGTGCACATCCATGACACTGCGTCGAAGAAACGGCCGTCCAGTGCTTCCAGGTTTTTCATGGTGGTCTAGCTTCAACTGACTCATGATTTCAACCAGTGAAATTTCTAGAAAATCTCCACAAAACCCTTTCTAAAGTTAAGAATAAATATAAAAATATTAACACTCATGATTTAGAAGGAAATTAGAAAGAGCTCAAAACATCTGCGTCACTGAACTTGGGTTTTCTTTCAAGCACCATCTCATCTATCATCCCTAAGCATAAATTACAGACGTCAATCGGAAAACATACACCGATCTATATAGCTTAAAACTAACAGTCGATACATTCATATGAACATCAATTAATCCTATGGTCTTAGTTTAATTTAATTTCATGTTAGAATTTTCTTTATACAAAATAAGGTAGTTAATTCTATATAAATAATGAAACAAATTTCCCATCCCTATTTTTCTTTTATCAACACATTTGATATATGAATGAAATATTCAGAAAATAATGCACTATAAACATCTGATATATGTCTGTTTATACATTTTCTATTATTGTCTCAAAAGTTGCTATCGTCTAGTTTCTACCCCTTTCCTATCTTTATTTTTTCCCCTCTCATTCGATTTTTTTCCATTAGAGTTTAAAAAGAAACTGTTTCTGTTTCTTTTATTTATCAAATAAATAAGAATATATATATATATATATATATATATATATATATATATATATATATATATATATATATATATATATATATATAAAGAACATTCTAGGCATAGATTATGGAATTACTGCATTCCATTGATTATTTCACATATTATCGAATACATACTTAAGTGCATTACATAAGATTCCAATCTATCTGATATTTTATGCTTTCTACAGTTGTAAGGAATTTTATTTTAAAGGAATTACTCATAGTTTATACACATAATTATATATCTATATAACAACTGTCAATTAAATGTTATAAAATGTTTGTGATTTAGTCATCTATATTGAGACAAGAAATAGACATCTTTGAGAGTATATGAAATGGAAGTATTAGGTTAATCTTTTTACCTCGACTTGGTTGTACAACTATATATATATATATATATATATATATATATATATATATATATATCCAAACGTCTGTATTTTGTTTTTGGCAAATATTATACTTTTATTTTATTGAAGATAGATATTTATGCACAAAGTTTTGATGAGAAATGAATGCAAAATAGTGAAAAATTCATTAGAAAGAAGTAAATATTTGGAGACAATTACTCACCACAATCTGACATTAGTTAAGCAGTTTGAAGCGAGTGGTAGTATTAGTAGTAGTAGTAGTAGTAGTAGTACAAGACAGTTTCTAGTGGATTTGAATTCACTGTGATCAAATATTCTGAAAATCTAATTGAAAAGTAAATACTTATCACATTCGATTGTTACGAACAATAATAGCATTATCACCAGTAGGATAAATCGATAAGTTTATGCGTATAGGAAAAATAACATTCAACAACCTCTTATAATTTCGTGTATTTGACCGTAAAACAAGCATACTGTGATTGAGTTTATCATCTCGTTATTTGGCTATGTACTTCGTTTCCAGTAAGTAGACTAAAAATGGAAATTGTTACCTATTGCTAACGTTACGTAACTCATCTGTCAGGAACGGATTCATGTATTTGGCTTTGATCTACACTCTTAGTTTGATGACTATTGATGCTACTCCGTTGTTCAAACTGAATCAAGTGAAACGGGATTCGAACCTGCCTGAAAGTCGAACGTCTTAAATACTACAACGCCGCTTTAGTGCTGTTTGAATGGTAATAAGTTTCATCAAGATTTTCTGTTTAATTTTTCGTTGAATACTTACATTTAGCCATGTTTTGTGTGGTTGGTCGTTTAGATTGCTGTAAGCAATCCGATTGTGTGATGAGCATTAAAAAAGACCGAACCACACACTCAGAAGCCCGAATGAACAAGTATCAAAATATATAACGAATTTTTAGTCAGCATAATTAGTTTATGCAACAGAATGACATGCGTACAAAACACTCGATGTATATGAAAATTTGCGCAGTTGAATTCATGAGTCGATCTAAGCTAGACCGCCATTGAAAACCTGGAAGCACTGGACGATCGATTTGTCCTAGTATGGGACTCCTTTGCAGTACACGTCCTCCCACTCGGGGCTCGAGCTCAGGACCTCTGGTCTCACGCGAAAGCTTAGCTCCTGAATCACTGAGCTAGCATGAAGGGTTGCGTAAAGTGATAAATCGATTGAAGTTGAACAATAACACCGTTGGATGCCTGCTCAGTGGTCTAGAGATTAAGCGTTTGCGCGCGAGACTGGAGGCCGTGTGTTTGAGTCCTGAGTGCGGGATCGTGAGTGCGTACTGCTGAGGAGTCCCATACTAGGACGAACCAACCGTCCGGTGCTTCTATGTCCTCACTGGTGGTCTAACTCAGATCGATTCGTGAATTTAACTGTTTAGATACTACAATCTCCACAAATTCCCATACTGTTACATAAATTATGTTAGGGTAGCTGTTACCAGTGACATTAAATCTTTGTGCTATGCCACAAGTCGGTTGATGTTGGAACTGTACCACTGAACATTGACTCAGTGGTTCTAATAATTAAGCATTTTCCGTGTGAACTGAAAATATCGGATCCGACAACTGACAGGGTCGGTAACAAATGCTCTTGAAAAGACACACACTAGAACGTAACAGTGGTTCATTGTTTCCTGGTTTTCAATGATACTGGCTTATCTTTCACCTGTCATATCAAGAAGCCAGCCAACGATAAGTGATATCGCTTTTTATGTAAACAAACTAGATGAAATGAGAGAAAATTTTACTATCATATTTAATATTGCCCAAAAATCAAAGGACAAACAGGGTTTTTTTCGTAATTCGGTACTTATTAGCGGGCACTCACGACTCTTCATAAAAACAAACTCCAGACTTTCAAGTAAATCACCACGTTCAATAACCTTGCAACTTTTGATTCAATATCCAGCAGTTAATACTGTACACTGCACTGGGTTTGTGACATTGTCCAATGTCTTTAGTATGTTATCGTCCCTAACTTTCTGACATGGTCAATTCCACATGTCATAGTATTACAGGGGAACAGTGAAATTTGTCGAGAGGCTAGCTCACTGTTAATTAGTACATAATTATTATTTAGTTAGTGCTTTGTTGAGACTGACTGACGGTAGATGAAATGACATTAAGAATTAGAGGGAATCATTTAACTTATCATTTCTCAATAATAATCCTCCTCCATCATCATATGGCTCAACTCCTACCTTTAAGCATCATACATCACTTTTTAGTAAAAAGAATAATTTACAATTTCCTTATTGTATAGTGAAGTTTGTCTAATTTTTTCTCCAAAGTGTATTATAATATGCTTTACCAAATGAGATATTGTGACATAGTAAAACAAATCAATATTATTTTCTATTCCCTTACCGTTGATTACTCACTATGGATAATAAAATTACTTATGTTTGAACTTGAAAATAAAGTCACTTTGCTTTTTAGAGAAGAAAACTAGCCAGCTCAGCCTTAGTTCACTAATTGCAATTATGTTCTTAACTTTAACCCTGAGGTCGAGGTCATGTCTCGCGTATTTGTTTTTTTTGTGTTGCTGTATTGTATTGTTGTACTATCCAGGTCAATTTGGTGATTCTTTTTTTCTTTCTGCCAATGCTGAATACAATACACATAAACATATTCACACATAGATTCAATAAGATAGATTTGAGGACAGATATTTCGTTTTTTTATAAAAGGTTTTACAACAAAACAATGGAGGATAAAATCAATTAGTTAATTGTTCATTTATGACTAAAGATGTTCATTTCTGTTCTTGAATGTTTTATCAATGCTCATACACACACCTACAACATCCACTTTTAAAATCGCGTTACTTTGAACGTTACCATCTGGTTGATCCATAAACTATTAAATAGTTAATATCTTTTTCTCGAAACTTCATTCATTTTGATATAAGGATCGTTCACATATGTATACTTTGGTATTAGAAACGTCAGTACTCATGGATCCTACAAAATACGACGAATAACCATGTGAGATTATCATAGATACGCCAACGCCACTGCGGAAGCCCTCAGTATTCAGAGCTACCTAAGATTATATGATATAGAAGCTGAGGATGATTTCCTATTCAAAAGAAAATACCCTCAACTAAATATTTAGATCACATTTATTGTTTCTTAATGATGAACATGGACGACGAGCGACTGCCAGTGAATTACTGTTTAACAACCTATCATCTCGTTACTAAGACATTGAATGAGTCTTCTATACCTACTGATACTTAGCAATATACGATCCAACTTCTGTCTGACCATCGAAGATCTCACTGAGCATTCTCGTACTTTACGGCACCTAGCTATCCAAGCACTTCCCCGAATAAACAGTTCAGCACGAAAAAAGATAACACTCGTTTTATAGAGAAACTTACCAGGTTCTCTACAATACATTTTCAGTTACAACCAACCAATATAACTTACCTAAAAGAGATTCTCTATCCATTTACACCTGCAGATGTGCTAATAATGAGTTGGAAGTCGTCATACTTCATGTCTATTGAACAAGTTATGGATAAGTATCATGAAAATACTGCGCAAATTAGCTGCAGTTATTCGTCAGCAGAGTTCTTACGGTAGACAAGGTCTAATGGCTTAATTATATAACTGAAACCAATCTGTAACAAATACAACTGAGAAATTAATTTTTAAATCTAAACCAACTAAAACGAGGACAGTAAACATGTTTAAAAGTTTTTTAAGGTACAATGTTATTCAGTAAATAAATGTCTCCATAGATCACCAACTGCCGTCGAATGAATTCGAAACTTTACTTCTAAATTTAACTACACTTCCCCGTCTTAGTATTATACTGTAGATCCCATTTTTAATATTAAATAAAGTAATTATACAGTCCGTTGGCTTTTCAAGATATATACGTTCAGATAGCTTTGTGTTAGTGAAAATTTAGTTTCAGCTACAAACTTCTATTCAATGTGATAATAAAACTAACAACAAATCCTTAATATTAGAGCTAGACAAGCTGAAAACTGATTTGGAAATTCTATCACTTCACGTTTGTTACATTTTTTTCGGCGGCAGATAATTTAAACCGTCAGTATTATAGATCAAAATAATAAAGGTGTTAAACACTAGTTTTTAATAGTCCAAAGCTCTATTACCTTAAGGCATTCCATAGTTCAAATCAATAGTCAATAATAACATAAACACCTAGTTTCCAACTCTAACTAACCTATCTGTTCATCATCTTTTTTTCCGACGTTGCTGTAAATGTCTCTCTGTAGCAATTTTTTCCTTCTCTCATAAATATTCTTTATTTTTTTATTGTAATTTTTCAATATGCTACTTATTGGGGATCACGAGTGGTCCATAAAATTAAATAAAGATTTCATCAGACATTTTGATAGGAAAAAATGTCATTTCTCCCTTCGTAAATCATCTTATTTTATGTAAAATTATTGACAGCACATAAATCATTTGAATATGATATTTAAAGTAAAAGGTTACCACAAGTCATTTTTATTCCATTTAGCTGTTGTAATTTGGTTATATAACCAATTTGGAAAATAGAGACAATTTATTTCGAATTTTTAATTACGGTAACGTTTTAATTTTGTTTAAATTATTTACCTACTGAATTTAAGTTAGTAGTTGTAGGCTGAAGCCATATATAATTGTTCTTTCTAAACAATAGATACATTGTATGAATCGGTAAGCATTTTTCTCTTCGAGTTTTAGTAATTGACGTGTCACATATATAATATAATGGTTCAAAATATTAGAGTACAGCCATGTCATTCGTGAAACAGTCATCATCATTGGTACCAGATGATCACAAGTTGCATTGCTATCTGATTAAACTTGGAAATGTGTACCATTTGAAACCAATCCACTGGTTTTATGGTTAGATAACCTAGGTTTAATACTTTTTAGATTCACAAGTACAATTTTCTGAGTAGTCCAATATGACGATGAATCTTCAGTCTAATGTTCTCTGATATCAAACGGTTATCCTACCTGAGGTTGATTCATGACGAATACCAGATAATTATTAGCTAACAGTCTTTATTTGGATTTTAGTATGACAATAAAGAAATTTCCCATGTTTTATTTCTGCATGTGAATCAGCAATATTACAGTCTTAAATGCATTCGTTGTCAGTGTTCATGAAAATATTATTATTAAAGCATTCTTAAACTTTTTTTTCTGATTTCCACAAATCAATCTAATTGTTTTACCAAGAAGAAAAGTTAGCTTTCTCTTTATTTATACTTCATTAAATCTGTTCCACTTTCTTTTTCTGCTCTATATTTCTAAAACAAACAAAACAATAGTCAGATTCAGTCAATTTACCGAAAGACAATTTATCAAGCCCGTTACAAAATGGTCAAATTCATCCACCAATATCGAATAGCAGTAATAGTATTCCAGTTAACCAACCCACTACACCAACAATAACACCTACATGTTTAACGACTAATTTTATTACTTCCCATCAAAATATTTCACAAAATTTATCAAATCCATTATCTACACAACATGTGAATTCATCATCATTGCCTGTAACACTAACAACACAATCATTAACAACAACTAATGGACAAAATGAAATATATTCTAATCAATCTGTACAAAATCAATTAAAATTAGCTCAAGCTCAAGTGAAACGGTTAGAAATGGAAATTAATCAATTAAAACGTCAAGCTATGCCAGTAATGGGTAGTTCAATGAATGGATTAGTTTATACAACAAATTATACTAATATTGAAGTAAGTTGATGAAAACTTGTGTTTTTCCATTCAACATGGATTATCTCATCAGTAATGTGATATGACGGGTGTTCAAAATATTTTATTTCACTTTCACGTATATTACGATAGTATGTTAATACAATAATAAGACTAGTCACGTTATATCAGAACCAAGATTCACAACCCAGGATAGAGAACTAGATTAACACTAGATAATACCTTTATTCGACATAATTACAAGTAGTTGCACTCAGTGAATCCGCAGTAGAAATCAATGGTAAGAAAGGAAGTCACATACTTAGTAGTCGCTAGGCAAAGCAAGTGCAAAATTCATACAGTTGAAGAACATATAGAACTCAAAACAACTGTCAACCAACATTAGTCATAATCTTCAATACGAACGTCAAGACAGTCCTACTATATGGAGCTGAAACTTTTGGAAATACTACAACCACCATCAAAAAGGTACAAGTAAATAGTTGTCTACGCAAGATACTGAATGTCTGTTGGCCGAATACCATCAGCAACAGCCAGGTTCCAGCTGAAGAGGTGAACTGTATTCATTGTATTTTTACAGAGACTTTTACGTATTTTCCCCTGTATGTAACATTGTGTTTCAAAAATAGTACATAAATGATTTTATTACGGTCTAATTACGATGTGATTCTGGGCAGTCGATAAATCTTGATTGCACAAACCTTTCGTGTTCTCACTTTGAGTTGTGAGAAGTGTAGCAATTCCCGTCTCCCAGAATAAGCAGCAGGATCAAGGAATTGCAGCGGTCCCTTCCCGATTGTCAAGTAAAAGCGGTAAAAATGCGGATCCAACAGAGTTGATACGTACATAACAACGACGATGCATGCAAATATTTACAGAGGCAGCACGCGCATGTAGGAAAGTAGGACCGCGAAAATAACAGTGGGGACGAGGTCAATTTACAAATTCAAATTTTCAGCATAAATATCTGCTTCCAATTTTAATTCAGTTTTCGGTTCAGGTTACACTTCAAATACATTTTTCAGTTATAAACAAATTGTTAAAAAAATCCCCATCATACTAAAAGACTAATATACAAACGAAGAGTATTCTTTTCGACAAATTCGCTTCAGGTTCTACAATTATATATCCAAATTAATAATCCGAAAATTGCCAGGTTAATGATAAAGTACATCGTTTAAAGCATGTGAATTTAGGATTGTTAAGCAAAATAGTATAAAATTTTTAATTTTGGTATGACTCTATAGAATGTTAACTTGAATCAGTGTATATGTTAAGTGGGATTTTAAGATTTATGATCCGAATAAATGTGAGTCAGATATGGTGAGAAAAAAATAGTGCAATTACAAACTCGATCAAGTGTTTGCTGGAAGACTATAATGTGTAAAAAAATTGGTAAGACATAGTAAGGCGGGATAAATGCGATGTGAATGAACCATGTATTCGGGGGATTAATAATAATGTTAAACTAATAATAATAATAATAATAACAATAATAATAATAATAATACAAAAACATATAAATAATGATAACAGAGACAATTATATTTGACTGCAAAAGTTTGTAAGTAGCCTAGTCAAATTGTCGTTCAATAGCTAAGATTACCACTGATTAATTGTCCTTGAGGTTGGCCAGGTGAGGAGAAGCGGTTGAAGATATTCCTTTTGTACACACAGCTCAGGTTTCTTGGTCCCGCTGGCTACTGCTCCAGTCGTTTGAAGGACTTTAAGTCTGGCAAGCTTTGGCAAAATCTTGATGACCCGATAAATAGCTGAAAATGATTGGTTTTAACTAGCACTATGATCAGTTTGCACTAAATGAGCCAATATCAATTTGTTCACTTTCTTCACTAGACCGTCGCTTAGCCTCACTGGTAGGTGTTCGCAAGCACGAAAATGTAAATCCCTGAAACTTCGACCAATATAACTTGCTCCACAAGAGCAGTCAAAGTGATAATTACAAAATGAGGTGGTCATTCTAGGTAAATCATCTTTTAGCCTCGGTATCACCACTGGGCGCGTAGAAAACACTAATCGTATTTTTTTATTTATTTGAACACAAATATTGTTACAACGGGGCACCAAATATATATGCGCCACACAAAACAATTTAGGGTAGTGTAATAATAATGTAGGAAACGGAAAGGTACAACTAGAAGAAATCTTTCAGTTAAGGAAGATACAACCACTTTTTATGAAGAAAGTAAAAAAAGGTTACAGCAGGGTCGCCACTGGCTTCTATTCTAAGCCATATCTGATAACGTCGCTAGCCACTCTGTTGCACCATCTCTAGAACCCCAGACGGGGAGCCGTGAAGGACCAACACAAGCCAGCCCTCCACAGCTTTCTTTCATACCAAGACACCATGTCATACACTGACCACCTCTCCGCTTCTTCCAACCAGTCCCAGAGTCGGTAAATAATGCACGACGTGGAATTCTCTGGGACGACATTTTTAGAACATGTCCAAGCCACCGAAGTCGGTGTTTCAAGATGGTGACACCAATTGAATTATCATCTCTGTGCCCGAACACACGATGCCTAACCTCTTCATTGCCAACATGGTATTGCCACTGGATGTCAGCAATCCTTCGGTTTCACAAGCATAGAGCAAAACTGCTCTTACCGATGCGTTGTAGATCCAAACTTTTACAGCCAGACCGACATCACGAAGGCGCCAAAGGTGCCCAGATTGGCATAAACAGCTCTGACTTTCATTATACGTGCATTGATCTCATCACTCGTGCGCCCACCAGCACTTATGCAGCTACCTAGATACACGAACTTCTCGACTACTTCTATCTGCTCACCTTCCAGAGTGAGTACAGGGTTAGAATCATGTCAGTCTTGTAGAAGTACTTTGCACTTCGAAGGTGCAAAGCACATACCATACCTACGGACACTGTTTGCCAACTGATTAAGTGCGGATTGCATGCCTTGGGCATTATCGCACAGTAAGACAATATCGTCCGCATACTCAAGGTCGAGAAGTCTTTCTCCAGGCAACAGATCCACACCACCATTACTTACATCCATCAGAGTTGTTTCCAGAATGTCATCGATGGCAAAGTTGAAGAGGAATGGTGAGATTGGGCAACCCTGCCTAACCCCACTGCTTGAATGGAACAATGGAGAGAGGTGGTTGTATGCCCCCACTCTGCCTGAGGTGTTTGTATACAGGGCTTTTAGGATGTTAATAAACTTCTCAGGCACACCCTTCTTCAGTTGACAATCACAGAGAACAGTCCTGTCAAGAAACACTACGATTGTTGGCCTTTGATAAGTACGATGGGTGAAGATATGATCAATATGCCGTCGACCAGAACGAACCCCCCTCCAAATGCCCTGGTATGGCCGAGAGTGGGGTGGGCCCGCCCTCCCTCTCGAAATGCTCTCACACGGCCACGCGTATACAGCCACTGCCAGGGAAGTCCTACTCATTGCCTTCTCGTGCCGGGTGTGTTGTTTACGAAAATGAGAGGACGAAAAGCGAATGTCCGGCGCTTTAACCGGATCCCAAACCAATGGTGCACATGGGCTCCAGTATCCTAAGGCAACAAATGGCGTATGAACCAATTGTTGGTCACCGGCTTCCATGGAACTGCATCTCCTTACGATGCTCCACTGCCTTGTGGATCAGAACGTCAGGTCGAAGGCTCGGGGAGTGGCCCCCTAAGAATACCACCTGCTTCGGTCTGGGCACCCGGACAGTATCACAGCCCTCACACAAATAAAATGATGACGAATCGTAGTTCTCTATTCACACAGACACATCAGTCCAGGTTGGCATGTTGGGCGTTTAAGCAGTGATTTGATTGCCTAGTTATTGACATACCAATTCTTATTTTTCTTACAAAACGTCGAAAACTAGTAACTAAGGTAAACAAGTTATGCAAATAAATAACTCAGGTTGATTGCTAATAATAGTTATGAATAAACTTTCTCGATAATTAATGGTTTTTAACTTACTAAAAATAGTTATAATTACGCACTTTAGTGTGATCCGGGAATGGCATCATTTAAAACCTATCCTTCCATTATTTTCTTGTAGTAGACATTCGTCGTTTAACCACTTATCCCTGGGATTTGTCCCTTTTTATATATTGGCTTTTTCTACTTATTATATTGATTTTGAAATCTATAATTAAAATACGTCACGCTCGCGAAGCTATATTGAACGAAAATTCATGAGTTGATGTTTTTTTTTGGATTTTCATGCACATTTTTTTGGTGAGTTGTTTCTGCAGTTTCTAGGACTTACAATTCTTCTGTGAAATTTGAATTATTTATATTGAACTGGGTACCAAACTATTTGAATGAAAATAAACCCTAAGTAAGAATGAAGTTTGTATGAGACGTTCACTTCATTACCCAAATACTGATTTTAGTTCAGAACTTAATTGTGCAGTGAAATAATTCTACATACAGATATCATTATTAAAATAAATAATATAGAATGTCTCTAATGTTCTTACATTAGACAATGTGTCTGCAAACGAAAAAATTTGCAAGCTCCAACCAGACATATAAAGCCTTAGTATAACAGCATCTAGTCATATTTTATTCTCTGAGTTGTGACTCACATTGTTTTGAATATGGCAACTTAATTGTACTAAAAATTTAGATATTAACTTTTCTATTGTTTAGATTTATGTTTATTGTCACTACCCTGTTTTACGTTTAAACAGCCGGGAATATCAATGGATACCGTTGATAGTCCTGATCTACGATGTGGTATTGCACGTTTGGAATTAGATGGTACTAATGGCGGTGGAAGTGCCGGTGTCAATAGTAATGGAGAATGGATTAACGAATTGAGTATTAGTAATAAACCTAGGCCAGTTGGTACTATTCATCCTTCATTGGTACAAGGTAATCAAAACAGACTATTATGGATGGATCGTGCATCACAAGATACTATACGATCATTGCATATACGTTTAGGAAATGTATTAAAAGAAGCCTTAGAAATTCATAATCGTTTAAGTTCTCTTCTATCAATTCCATCTGTAGAGTAAGAAATTTTGTGTTCAATACATTAAACTCACTGACTGACTACTTCTTTTCAGTCTTCCTGTATACATGACTTTTAGAATTTATTTCTTTATAATTTAGTTTAGATATCTTAATGTGTTATCAATTCGTTGTTTTTTCTTCTTCTAACATTAATGTTTCCTCTCTAAGATGATGAAATTCCCCCCCTAACAATAATACAAACATCTTCATTTTATTCTTTTTAATAATAACGGATACTGCTAGATGCCTGTCAGTATTTTAATCATCATCTATGCTGTTGTACAGTTCATGTAATTTACTTTAATTTGCTATACTGGTGAAATGTAAATTCTTTTTCAATTTGTTACATAAAACAAAATTAACTCGTAAAATAAACAAGTATTATCACTACTATTCATTCGTAAATAATAATGACAAGGTCATATCTATTTATTCTAATGCATGATATTTGTTTTATTTCTCTTAATTGATGTTTCTTATTCCTTGCGAATTTCCTCTCCTTTCTTTTCTATCTTTTATAATATAATTTCAAGATTAATTTTATAAATACTCCTTAATATAGTGGTATTACTTTAGATACAATGATTCGTCTTTAATGTCAATGCATTACTTAAATAGATTAAATTTGATTCATTTCTCGTAGTGAAATATCTGCAAGATATTTCTTATGTATTTCGTGTATCAATCGATCTGACAACTGTTATTACAATAATTACGAGCGGTTCATAATTTTCCAGAGGACGGTAATATAAAGTGGTAACTAGTTTATTTTCGTATAGCATATTTCAAACAACCACCAAGCACATAATGGGAGACAATGAGAAAGTAAATAATTTAATGGAAATTATGAAGTAGATAAAAACAGACATGCGGTTTAAGCTACTAACATTTAGGCGAGTAAGGGTAACTGTATTCGTGGGCATCGGAATGTAATGGTACAGGTATAAGCAGATTCTTACTGACATAAATCATGGTGTGTTGAATTAATTATTCGGAGAGCTTAGTTTATTACTGTCCTCCAAGCATTGCAATTGATAGAAAGATGGATAATATAAAATAAACTGTATCAACTTCCTTTCCAAATGCTTCAGTGAAAATATACTATGTATCACTATACCATACAACTTGGTGTAAACAAAGAATTACTATACCTTAATTCAATTGTACTAAGGTAACATAAAACCTATGCAGATTTCAGATTCTTCTGGTCATTTTGCTTACAACAGCTAATCGCATACTGAGGTAAAACGAAACGTTCCACGAAGTTCTATGGCATGATGGTTGCGATACACTTCTTCCTACCATTGGTTCAAAGTCTCAAAACCTGTTCTCATCATCTCACATCTTCGGAAGTATCAAGGCAGTATTAGCGAACCTTCTCAACAAGAAGTATGGTTCAAAATCAAGTGCTCTGTATGTGACTACCCTACTTGTTGAGTCGTCTTACTTTATTGTCTTCAAAAGGTCATAATAGGTCTTAGACATTAAAAACAAGTATAAGTATAGAGTGAGAATAAGCCGTCTACTGTCTAAATGAACGCATCTCACTACGTCGAGTACGTTCACCAGACATTAGTTTTTGATACATTAGATCTTCAAACCACGATTTTTTTCTTAGATGATTCAGATTAACAGTACTTTTCAACGATATGAAATGGAATGGTTAGAAGACGCATGATTGTTCTGCCACGAAATATCTAGGGTGAATTAGATTAGAAAATACCGCACTAATCTGCATATTACAATCATTCTTCTGCAAACTTACAAAAATTTCTGATAAAAACTAAGAAATCAAAAGTCTTTCGTAGTATATAAAATCGGAATGTTATTAATACTTAGAAAACAATGCCAATTACATAAAAATGATAATAACAAACACCGAAATAACAAAAACTTAGTGATTTTTGACGAGGAAAGTTAGAAAATGCCGAAGGTGTTTTTAAACATAAATGCTGCCACCAATTATTATAAAATATGTAGTTTTACTTTGACAAGAAGATTACATTTATTCTTCACAAACGAACACCTCTCGTCTTATCCGTTTCATTTGTTGATATGAATCTGATTCAGGATAAGCGCTACGCTTACGATAAGGTCTGGTGTTTTGTTTTATCATTACAAAGTGTAATGAATCATAGTGCCCTGAAGATGAGTCTTCCTCATTTTCGGAAGCAACTTCGTCGTACACTGTTTTACAGTCATCGAAGGCAATAGCTTTACGATCGATAGTACTGAAGGCTAACGGTTCTATTGGCAAGAAATACAAAGGTAATTGTACCTTGTCAACTGGTTGAAGTTCTTTGCGCTCAATTAACTCACAATCCATATTAGTATCAATAGAAAGTAAACTATTTTTATAAACAGATTCGTAGACAGTATATTCGTTAGATATTTCAACCATTTCACTTTCTGAAACCTTATTATCCATAATCGCATGATTTGAATAAATAACCTTTTGATATACTGGAACTACATTTGTGTGACAATTTGGACAATAAGCTATAGGTAATTCATTAGAACATTGTTTTAAAGTCGGAGCGATTGGATCATCCCGTTTAAATGTTTTTATATAATTTCCCGATTCACTTGATAGAGACTCAAGAGACGAACAGAGATTAGTGTCAAAGTTATCTGATATTCTTGACTTTCGACGTTGCTGAACCCACCTTGACTTTTGAGTATCTATATTTTCTCGAAAGGGACGCTTAAAAGTTAAACTTGACCGCTTCGTTGTGCATAATAGCGACCATAGTAATGGTTTTTTCTTTATTTTCAGCTTATTTTCTACTAAAGCGCGTTGTGAACCAGAACTTTTAGAAAACCATCTCATTATAGACTAGAAAGATAAGGTCGGAAACAAAAAATCAATAAATATTTGCTAATTTTGAATTTTTGTAGTAACGAAGAAACCCCAAATGTGACCGAACAACACAAACGAGAAAGTGTATAGATTTTACACAACTTACCCTTTAAATATAACTGATGTAGTGGAACGTGCCTTTAGAATTAAAACTTATCTAACTTAACAAATATCTAATTAGAGAGTAAATCTTTGACAGCGTGGACAACAAAAATTTATTTACCCTCTCTACACTTACTGCTTTATATATTCAATCAAAATGACCATGAATTTCGAAGTAGTAAATAAAAATCCTTCATTTTATAAATAACCAATAATAATATAGCATAATCTGATCAGAGTTTCACAGTATTTGGACGCCGAGTTAATGTGAGACATTACAGAAGAAGAATGTATTTGTAAAGTCTCAGCGGAAGAATTTGAAGTAAATCCAACGTTTCACCTGGCAATCTGGTCTAAGCTTTTCTTAGGAAATATAATCAAAATTATCGAATATAAATAGGTACGTGGTTCTCCGGTTTACTGTATACTGAATAAATCATCTAATCAAAGTTAACAATATTTAAAGTAGGTATTCACATTAGTGTGTAAGAGACATGTGGTGTGAAACGAAAAATGTTAACATAACAAATTGTGTGTATACGTAAGTGAGAAGAACTTTTATTCATTATATATTGTCTTCGGTCGGTGAATATTAGGAAAACATATTATATATTATCGTTGATTTGTTCTCAAGTTTTCTTACCTCAACTGAAGATTTAGGAATGTGCTTTAAGTATAGTGTATGCACCCACGCCATTGTGGTCGATTTTAAGTCATGTCATCCATAATCTCCAACCATTAGATGCGTTAGTCGCGCGGAACCCAAACATGTAGTCTATATCTACCAACATGGCTTAGTCTTGAACTTAGTGACGTTATCGGCTGATACCACGTTTTGGTTCGGCCGACCCTAACATTCTTCCATCCACCTCCAACACTAGTTAGAATTGCGTGCCGTGGTAATTGGTGGTTGGGCGTGCGTAACACGTGGTCCAACCATTTCAGTCGGTGAAGATTCACAACCTTATCAACTGATTTATCATCATTCCCTAATACCGTGCGTCTAACCTCACTATCACTTACATGGTGATTCCAGAAGATGCGAGCAATATTTCTAGGACATCTGTGATCAAATACTAGGAACTTACGAGTATCTTCTACTCCTAATGGACATGTTTCACAGACATAAAGTAGAACAGAACGAACTACTGCTCAGTATACTCGTCCCTTAATTGATAGACGGATATCTCGACTTCGCCATAGGTGACGTAATTTGGCAAAAGCCAAAAGAGGATCTTGAATCCGTGCACAGATTTCGTCAGACACCAACCCATTAGGGCTGATCAGACTTCCAAGGTAAGTGAGGTTGTCAACGCGTTCGACTACTTCACTCCCTATCCTTAGTTCAGGTGTTGACGTAGGCCAGTCGTGAAGTAACACCTTGCATTTAGAGAGTGAGAGACGCATCCCAAACATTCTGATATTGTTGCTCAGTGCTATCAAGAGGCTGCATTTTATCAGCGTCTTTAAAACTGTATTCAAATTGCTGTCAAAAAAGCAAAAGATAATTAACAATCCGAAACCAAACGTTGAAAGAGTGAGCAAATATATGTACCCTAACCCTAGTCAATTGTAGTGTGGAAACCTATATTATGAGCTTGAAGGCACAAATGACTAAACTAACTACAAATTATTTATAATGAATAACAAAAGCAAGAGACAAAGATATCTTTGGCATCAGTTGCTTAATAATAAGGATAGAGATGACACGTTAGAACATGTGTTACGTATGCCCAACAACCGCCTACCACGAGGGGCGATGTTGTACACTGCAGGGGTAGGCTGGAAGACAGCTAGTGGCGGCCAAACCAAAACATGACATCAGTCCATGAAGTCACTGATATTTGGACTTCGGCATGTTAACAAGTGTAGACTACGTGGCTGGGGTCCGCGTGATTATTGCAACAATGGTTAGGGGCGACATGGCTCAAAATCGTTCTCAGTGGCCCAAGTGGATTTGTTCTTTGTTTTCCCCCAAATTATGAGATTCTAAATTCCTCATAATTTTTTTGTTTTCATTTCACTGATTTGTTTTCTTTTCGAATAGTATTTCAGATGCCCAATCTTTTTTATTACGACTGGTACTGTTAGTACCCCTACTATCCTGAGATTCAGCCTGAAAACTTCATCTCTCCGTGCTGAGGTATGGAAACTTGAACCGACGTATATACGTACAGTTTCTACGTTGTAAATGACTGAGTGACTAAGAGATGACATATGATTCAAACGCTACTATAGATATCGAACTCGCAGAAGAAACCCACTAGAAACAATTATTGAGAACAAAAATTTCTAATGCCAATGCAACTAGTCAGTCATCATATACTGCAAAATGGGAATGAGAATAGCTAGTTACAATTAGAAATCACTTATAATCAAACAATAATTACTTACGAATATCCTGTTTTCATAGACCATATACTGTAGTCGCAAATCAAGACAAAAACGACTGCTACATAGTATACCCGTACTTTGCTGTTTAGAGGATGTAATTAGGCATCGACTGATTACATAGGTCATTTTTCTAGACACTAGAACAAATGAACTAGTTGGTTATCACAAAGGGTTTTATTCCTTACTCACAAACTCAGACGACTAGTGACCGAGATAATATTGGGTCCAGTTTCTGGCTATTTTACTTAGCCTAACTGTTTAATTTGGGTTATGATTCTTGAAAAAAAATGGCGTAAATCCATCAGGTCCAAGTGCTCTAGGTCGCTTCAAACTGGCTTCGCTCTTTTCTAATTCACTAAGAGTCAGGAAACTTATGTTTTTAGAGAAAAGTGGGTAATTAGAGGGTAGATGAAGACCACGTGGATAAATCCTTGAAATTAGGTCACGGCCACAACCGTCTGGTTTCACCGTTTAAGGGGATAGTTGCACTAACAGTTAACAGTAATATATGTTTCCCAATCGAATCTGAACACTAACCTGATGTTACGCATCACTGTTGTCTTATATATATTTTGCTCCAAAAACCTATCACTATAACGATGTATATGTTTTATCAAACTTTTATCGCTCCTCAGTGCGTTCGGAGCCCGAAGTACGTCTCTGACTGCCTATCAATTCAGAGAATGTCAATAAACTCCGCCACCCTTTACTTGACGTTTCGGTTGAAGTCGTTAACATGCATCACTGCTGTTTCCATAGATATTGTGACATGTTACATTCGACTTAATCATAACGTCTCGGATGTATGGAAGAAGTTACCAGATGAAAGCATCTAGAATTTCGAAGAGAATCACAATGAAGACTGTTTCTTGGCTTTTTAAAGCTGTCTTAAACAGCGTTTGGGAATGCAAAACTCCGACTCGAACTATGAAATTAGTCATTTCGCACAATCCTAAATACTTTCCAGATAAACATGTTACTTAGGTAAGATCTAAATTGATTATCAAACCCTGATTGGACAGAATTATATTACATACTAACTAGAGTTGGGAAATTTTATATATGGAATACATCCATCATGTCCTGAATTAAAAACGTAAATTACAGTTTTATGTGAAGTTGTACTCTTGATGACGTTCCGTTGGAATCATAGGCTAGAATACAATCATGACCTGGTGTTCGCCGAATTTAAGTTCGTCTCAGCTGATGTCATTGACAAAAACATAAAAACAGACCATAAAAAACTAGACAAGTTACCGACTACTAACGCGGTAGTGAGTATTAGCCACAAATTTTACTTATAATCACCTTTGTCTCTACATTATAACCAATTGTAAAGAAGGTCAACTCATTCAGACCTAAGAAATTAACCAATGAGAGTGAAGCTTAAACTAAGCCATTAATAAGGTCAAATTTAATGTTCTCCCCCTATCTTGAATCTTGCTCTCAGGTTATTGGCTAAAATTCACCAGCAAACAACATAACAAATTTTCTAACCTGTTTCTAAAACGCTCTGGTCTTGGTTACGCATGAGTCATACTACTGCTTTTTGTGTAGCTTGATGATCCCACTAATGTCGATTTCAATTGTCTGTATAGTGTGCTGTATCGGTTGCCATCTATTTGAGCAGGCTTGGTGACATTGTTATATCTAAAAGAAGTGGATTAACTTCAAGAAATAACAATTATTTTGGTAGAACGACATGAATTCACCCATTTCGTGGACTTATATCCGCTGTAAAAGATGTACACCTGTTTCGTTTTAGTCACTAATACTCACTAATAGTTTTAAGTTGTAGGCAGCTGAAGAGAATCTACGATGTGAATGAATTCATTTGAATTTCCTCAAGGTTTGCCTTTATTTCCTCTTTTTTGTTTGTTTGGGATATTATTCTGCCGTGTTACTAGGTCTTTTTTATTCAAGTTGATAAATGTGAAAAATTGTAAAGAATGGATTAAATTGCAAATAATTTCGATTCCGCATTACCGCATGTATGTGATGCTTCTAAAATTACAGTTTTTCTATGCACTCATTAGTTAACCTGTTCCAACAGAAGACTGCCACATGGTAGTAGAACGACTAGGTCTTCAGTGTTGAGTCTTGTCAGTGAGGAACTATAGATAACAGAACTTATTGTTTGAGATATTCGCTCGTAATTATCCAACTGTTAACTAAATCTTGAGAATAACAAACACAGGAAAGGCAGTCTGTTTTCAGACAGTTCAGATATTCGCCCTGCAACACAATTTGAAGCATAGTGATCCTCACAACTACAAACTGTAGTCATATTTCGTAACCTGGTGTCTGTAGTTGATTTCATTGACCAAAAGTTTTTTTCACAAGACTTGATGGAACACAAAATAAGTTAAGGAGTAATGTCCACTTACTAATACCGATTAAAGCCTTGTTATGCACCAACACACAAATTGTAAACATAACTGTGATTTTAAAAATACTTCAATTGGAATTCTGTTGAGCAAAATTGTCAACTATTTTACTCCATTTCTTACTGATGCATCGAGACTGGATAGTGGCTGCTAAGTTGTCTAAAAAGAAATCACTTCAGGACTAATCACAGCTTTCGGTTATGAAGTTCATATGATTTACCGTAATACGATTAATCCCATGTTTAGAAACAAAATCATTGTCTTACTATCTCACAGATTCATTAAAACTAGAAACTACCTTATGTATACTAAGCATTTTTCTTGGCAATCTACAAAGACTTATATTTCTTACAAAGCTTTCATGTTTACTCAGATACATGTGAACTTTCATTTATTCTACAGTTTTTTTGTGTTGATAACAATTTCTAGAAAGATGAATTCAACTATTAAAATTACTACAATCCCCATTCTGATAAACTACACAAATCAAAGAAAAGAACACTGTTATCATACATTGTTGGTGATTGCCATTTGTGTTCTGAATATCCTAACTG